ACAAGTAAGTGAAGGGCAGAGAGAGAGGGAGACAGAATCCCACAAGGAGAGAGAGAGAAGCAGGCCTCACCTGAAGCAGGGCTCATGCTCACCCGAAGCAGTGCTCGAGGTCACCCAAGGCAGGGCTCGAACTCACAAATTGTGAGATCATGACCTGAGCGGAAGTCAGATGCTTAACTGACTGAGCCAACCAGGTGCCCCACATTTTTCTGTTTCTAAATGTGGGCACACAAAGACTCACATTCATTGCCTCCAGAGGGACAGATCAGTAGACTCATGCCTTTATTGATGGAATCATCTGTGCCACATAGACCTATCCTTTCCTCGCTCTCTCCCTTCCTCTTGCCCTCCCCCCACTCTCCTCTCTCTTTCCAAACATGCATTGTTGAATTTTAACATGCTAATGTGGGCTTGAGTGGCCAAAGAAGACTTTTTCGAGGAGATGGGACTATACCCAGGGCTTGGCATGGCCTTGAAGAATGATGAGGAATAGAGAACAGGAACAGGAAAAGAAGGGTACCCTAGGTAAGGTGAATGACATGAGCTGGGACTTGGAGGTGGGAATTAACATGGCAAGTTCAAAACATTGAGGGGACTAGTGTGATTACAGAAGAGGCTGCTTTGGGGGATGTATGAGGAAATCGGGCCTGAGTAGGGCGGTGAGACCTTGGAATCCAGGCAGGGGGCTTTATCTTTGATGTCTTAGAAAGCATGACCCCAGTAAGGATGGCTGAGCAAGAGAGTGACATGTTGAAAGTGGCATTGAAGGTGGATTGAGTTCTGGCATGTGAAGATGACGGGGAGGGAAGGGGATGGCCAGTGAAGGAAGATGCTTTTGCTTCTTGGTGCCCAAGGTCAAAACCTGAACTAAGATGATTTGCTCTGCAGCTACAGATAACCTTTTATTCTTTCAAATAATGTGTTTTTATGTGTTTGTGTTTTCTTATTTAAAGATAATGTCTGTATTGTAGCAAAATTTGAATGTATAGGTAAGCTGAAAGAACATTTGTAACCATCCACAGTGTTACCACCTGGAGGTAATTAGTGTTGACTCTTGTGTTTATCTCCTAGAGTTTAGATTATTTTCTAGGCATATATGAATTTCTTTATAAAAAGTATCGTATTATTTTATAAACTGTATTTTGCACTTACTGTCTTTCCATGTCAATACATATATTCATTTATAATGTCTTTTTTCAAATTTTCAAATTACCGTTACAGAAGTGTATGGTAAGGGTGTTTGTCTTCCGGGGCACCTGGGTGGCTCATTTTGTTGAGCGGCCGACCTCAGCTCAGGTCATGATCTCACACTGCATGAGTTCGAGCCCCACATCAAGCTCTGTGCTGACAGCTCAGAGCCTGGAGCCTGCTTCGGATTCTGTGTCTCTCTCTCTGTCCCTCTCTTGCTCATGCTCTGTCTCTCTCTGTCTCAAAAATAAATAAAAACATTAAAAAAAAAAAGAGCATTTGTCTCCCTAGTAATCCATCTCTCCAGATGTGACTATGGCTAATGTTTTGGTGTATATCCTTCCAGATGTTTTTTATATCCTATCCTATCACATTATATTAATGTTATAATTTTTAATGAAAAAATAATATTTCAGATATGGAAATATATATGTACAGAGATACCGGAGGCACTGTTTTTGTTTGTTCACTCCCTTTTTATGGACACCCCCTTTTTTATGGCCTTTTTTTTTAATGTTTGTTTATTTTTAAAAGAGAGAGACACTGGGGTGCCTGTGCTTAACCAACTGAGGCACCCAGGTGCCCCAGAGTCCTGCTTTTTAATAATAACATTGATATTGTCAAATTTGTATCTTACAGATATCTTCCTAAGTTTAAGAAGAAACGTGTTAGGACGCAAAGAGGTCTGGGAACCTAGGTTTCCTTAGAGGGAGATATCCTTGAGGATTTTTGGAAACTGTTCTTTCTTTGTTCTGACTCCTCCAGGCAATCATTGAGGAAGCTGAAATGAGATGGGTTGAAGTCTGCAGAGCAGTGCATGAGTTTAAAAAAGATGTTCTAAAAACTATATCCAAGAAGAAAGGGAGTATTTTGGCCACTCAGAAAGTGTTGAAGTACATTGAGGACATGAACCGCCGGAGAGTGAGTTGACAGGAGGCTGGGGCTTAGCAAGGGAGAATAGATTCATCAGATGATGACATTAGAATGATCCATGGGAAGCAGCCCCACTCCATTTGGTCCACCATAAGACCATAAATCCTGTCCACATATGTAGATTTATTGCATCACTACCACTGTGTGTCTTAAAATGCAAGTTTATCAAGGCTAAAATCAATCAGGCAGGATGAATATTAATAATATCTCAGACTGTTTTTTTTCTTTTTTATTGTTACTATTTGTTTCAAGATCTGATATGTTTTCTAGAGATAGGTGATGAGAACCTATCTAGTCAGGTGACTGCATAAATCTCAAGCTCTTCAAGTTCCATTATTTATAAGGAGACATAAAATTATGTTCCTTCACTTTCAAAGATCTTGTAGCATGTCAAGCTTAGGATCCTGGACATATGTAGGGTTATTATCCTTAATGTGTTATAAGTGATAAAAATTATATAAACTACCAAGAGAATAAGAGACCAAAGAATCATAAAATCATTTTGGTCAGGAATGGCCCCTGTACCCAAACGATAAACCCAAATTATCTTGAATTTAAAAGCAATAGAAAATTTGCATGGCACAGACCCAGTTACCTCTGCTTCTTGGTCATGAGTGAAGTGCTACAGCCATGCCAGTGGGGATAAGAAGACCTAAAAATAAGTGACTGAATGTTAGGTTCAGTGTTTAGTTTGCAGCCCCAAACCTACCAACTTTTCAAACCAACAGGGCAGAAGAAGAGACATGGATTAAAGTTTATTTGTATTTTTTAGGATAATATGAAGGATAAATTATGTTTGAAAAATGTTTCTCTCAAAGTGCAGAGGAAAAAGATGCTTTTACAATTGAGGCAGGTATGTGGCTCTTCCTTCCTTCCTCCCTTTCTCTCTCTCTCCACACCCTTCCTTCTCTCTTCCTTCCTTCTTTCCTTCCTTCCCACCTTCCTTCCTTGTTACTGTGATGTATCACTGTAATGTGTTCCCAAAGATGATCATGTCCTAATCCCTGGAATCTGTGAATCTGTTACCTCACGTGGCAAAAAGATTTTGCAGATGTGATTAAGACAAGGATCTTGAGATTTTCTTAAAATAATCTCCCCTTGACTCAGAGGGAGATTATCTTGGGTTATCTGAGTAGGTCCAGTATAATCACAAAGGTCCTTGTAAGAGGAAGACAGGAGAGAGAGATGTGTTAACGGAAGCAGAGATCAGAGTGATGAACTTTTAAGGTAGAGTGAGTGGTCATGAACAAGAGAGTTCAGCAGCCTCTAGAAGCTGGAGCAGACAAGGAAACATATTTTCCTTGAGGGCCTCCAGAAGGAGAGTGGCTCTGCCAGCACCTTGATTTCAGCCCAAACAACCATTTTGGATTTCTGTCCTCTTGAGCTAGAATATAATGGATTTTTGTTTTAAGCCACTATGTTTGTGGTGATTTGTTACAGCGGTAATAGTAGACTCATACAGTTACTGTGCTGGCAGATCCATAGACATAGTTGCCTTCAGCTTGAAAGACCCTCATGACATACTTGTTGACCCTTTTGGGGAACGTGGCTGGGCGGCACAGGTACAGTGTGCTTTGGGTGTCTTTGCGACAGACTCTACGGGCTCCTGATTAAAGGCAGTAAGGCAGACCCGCATGGGGCCTCTAGAATGTGATTCCATGGCTCCATCCTCTCCTAGCTCAATATATTTTTAACTAACTTGAATATGGGCACTGATGGCATGTGCATTAGAGGTGACCACTGACAATGACACGAAGTTGTACAGGAGAATTAACATGTCTGGAACTCTTGCCTGATTGACTTGGGATCCCCAAAGACAACAAGCTGGAACATCTTTAACAGCACAAAGTGACTGGAGACAAATTTAAGATCCTCCATTTTGATCCCCTAAGATAACTGCACAGGCACCACATGGCTTAGCCCTCGAGTCCCGGAAAAAGTCAGCCCAACTGGAGGTGATGCTGTGGCCTGGGGGGGGGCACCCAGAGAACCACAGTGCTCCACGGAGAAAGCGGTGGGCTTGCTCCTCTCGTTCTGAGCAGCCCGGACCTGGAGCAGTGCGTCTCCAGGAGAGCTGCACGCTTGGAAGAACTGGTCATCTAGAGCCCACCCAGGAGAGGGAGCCGGAGAGCAAGGGGAACAGAGGAGGACCCAAGAAGAACCGGGAGGGCCAGCTGCTGTCTCCAAGTGTGCAGGCAACTGTGGGAAGGAGAGAACACACTGCTCTGGAGGTCCCCAGTGGGGAGTGAGGGCTGGAGTGGCGGTGTCATTGAAGGATATTTGAGATGAGTGTAAGAAAAAATGTGGCCCCGGCTGCAGTTCCAAAAATAGAGAGGAGCTGCCTCCAGAAACGATTCTGGTACTCCAGGCTTTGTGCAGGCCCAGGCATCCTGGAAGACGGATTGACGTGTGAGAGAGGAAGGGCATGGATGACTTTTAGCCTAAAAGCCACTGCCACACAGGACTGACCCTGAGGTGGCCCTGCTCTCGGGAGCTCACAGATTAGCAGGGAGTGGGGATGGTAGGAAAAGGCTTCATGTGTAACTGGTATCCAGAGGTAACAGCAGTAGGGACCGAGGAGCCACAGGGGGAATTCTCCTGGTGTGGAAGATGGTTTGGGAGTATTTGAGCTGAAGGATGGGTCATTACTGGGGCTTCAGGAAATTTTTCTTGTTGTTTTGAGGGAAAGGGAAGAAGCCTTCTAGGAGGTAGTAGAGCGTGAGTAGAGTGTAGGGGTGAGGAACAGTTCCCGAATTTGGCTCTCACCTGCCACAAACATAAGATGGCCTAGACCTGGTGAGGCAGGTAAGGTGGGCCAGGTCAGGGAGGGAACCCTCCCTGATACAACCACAGTACAAAAACGTCACATGAACACAGGAAGGGAATTTATGGGCTGCTGGTCCTGGGTTTTCCAGGTTAAAAACAACTTTTATATGGTCTCCTTCCTACTTTTCCTTCATAGCACTGTTTAGGCACTACCTCTTGTGGGAAGCCCTTACTGACCCAGGCTTCCATTCTTCTCTGGCCTGGCTGAGGGGCTTCTGTGTGCCCACTGCCCCTCCCACTATACCACACAGTGACCTGTTTGTGAACCCTGGTTGAATGTGTGTTCCTTGAGGCCAGGGAGTATTGTATTTATTCAAATCTCTACCCTAGTGCCTTGTTCCAGTCCTGGCACCAAGCAGATCCCCAGCCTGTGTTTGTTGAATGACTAAATGATGACCAATTTTCAGAATTTCATCCATAATTACAAGATGTGAGTCATATTTAGAACTCACAACCTCATGTCGTTTTTTTCTTCTTTCTGAGCTGTAGAAGGAGGAGGTGGGCGAGGCCCTCCATGACGTTGATTTTCAGCAGCTGAAGATCGAGAATGCTCAGTTTTTAGAGACCATTGAAGCAAAGAATCAAGAACTGATCCAGCTAAAGCTGGCATCTGGAAACACCCTGCAGAGACTCAATGCATACAAAGTAAGGTCCTCCCTGATGCCCAGGTCGCTGAGGCCTCCCACACCCACCTTGCCAGCCACAGTGAGGTTCCCAGACACCACTGCAGTTTTACAAAAGGCTTGGATCCCCTTCATTTACTGTTGCTCCCTGATTTCTCTTGACAAGCCGTTTCTCTTAAAAACTCGAATATTCCCACAACCCTAGCTGTGCATTGGAACCACTCAGAGAGCTTTTTTTTTTTTTTTTTTTTTTTTTTTTTTTTTTAATGTACAAACACCCTAGTCCAATCCTGGCCAATTGAGTTAAGGGGTGAGGGTGAGGGCCATGCGTTTTGGTTTTTTTTTTTAATGCCCCAGATGATTTATATGTACAGTGAGTTTTGAGAACTAACTGCATTTAGGGCCCTGTTTAAGCCTGTAATAAGCACTTCCCTACTTAAAACCCTCCAGAAGAAAACTCTCTTAGCTAAAAATCAGAAAACTAATAAATAATTCCTCATCCCCACAGAACCTTTTTGGGAGAGAAAGAGGTACTATTAATAATTAAGCAGGGATGATAGCCATGACTGTCCAGTCACCCTGCTAACAATTGTTTCATGCAGCAGTCAGCTAACTGGCCAGTGTATCCTGCCCACTGGCCTGTGAGCAAAGAATGGTTTTTACAGAAGAACATCTATAACTGATGTTATAGACAACACCATCTTTGAAACCCAATTAAGTAAAATTGGTTTCTCCTCCAGAAATTCCATTCTACTCGTTAGTAGACCTCTATTCCAAAATGTACTTATTATATTTTAAATTTCATCAATAAAACATTTGTAGAAATTTGTTTTTTCTTTTGTTAATATAAGTAATTACATAATATCCTCAATTTTACCTCTTGGCCTGCAAAGCTTAAATATTTGCTATCTGGGGCACCTGGGTGCCTCAATCAGTTGAGTGTTTGACCTGATTTTGGCTCAGGTCATGATCCCAGGGTTGTGGGATCAAGCCCCATGTCAAGTTTCTCACTGAGCATGGAGCCTGCTTAAGATTCTCTCTCTCCCCTTCTGCCCCTCTCCCCCACTCACGCTCTCTCTCTCTAAAATAAAATAAAATTTAAATTAAAAAAATTAAAAGAAATAAATAAATATTTGCTATCCAGCTTTTACAGAGCAAGGCTGCTGACCCCTAGCCTAGTGCCCTGGTGACAATGGTGGCTACAGGCTTCAGGTAACTCACGGGTGGTCTTCATTTGGCCCACACAGTGTCATTTTAAAATGTAAATTTGGAGATGTTTAGATTAGACTGTTAAGTTTGTCCAACATTTTCCTTTTACAAATGAAAACCTTGAGGCCCAAAGAGAAAATGATTGCCAGGTTCAAGCAACAAGTTTGTGACAGGGCTGGGACTCCTAGTCCGGTACGTGTCCCACCTAACCCAACTGCTTCTCCCTGGCATAAAGCATGTAGACAGCATTGTGCTGGCATTTTGAAACTCATGTGTCATCCATCTGCAATAGATCATCCATTTTGATCTTATCTCATCAGTAGTTAGCTTATCTGATCACTGTTATTTCAAGATGAAGCCAATCCCCATGACTCCCAGGCCCTCACTGGTAGAAAGCTGGGTAGTACGTGGTTGCATCACATTGGATCTTGATCTTATCCCATGGAATCAACTTAAGTAGCACAGAGCCTGTCTGGTCTTGTGTAGAAAAGCTAGGGGTTTGGAGTGGAGCTACTGGTTTATAAAATGAAACTTCCAGGTCCAGGGCCTGAGCTCTTTAGGACAAGTGTCAATGCAGAGGACAAATTGTTGGCCGTACCCATGCAGCAGCAACACAGGCCACAGTGAGTGGGATGGGAACTATTCTGGCCAGAACCATAGAGGCCATCATTCCTGCAGGCCTGTTTCAAATAATAGTAAGCAGATGGTGGAGCTTGGGAGGAGGTGCCTACAGGAATCCTACAGTGGACTCAGTGATAGGTTGAGGGAGGAGCCGGCTCATTTTTTCCATGTCTCAGTTGTTAGGTCTCCTAGGGGAAATGGAGGCAGAACAACTGTTGAGTTTTGGAGTCCTACCTCACCTGAGTTTGAAGGGGTATTCCACTAGGGACCATGGGTATGGTGCCTCACCTCTCAGAGACAGATTTTTGCGACTCACCACCAGGATAGAGCTCTGGCTGGCCTGTGCCATGTTCCTAGCACCGAGGACAGTGCCTGGCCAAAGCAAGTGCTTAGCCAGCATTGTCAAAGGAGCTGCTAGCAATTCAGGTGTGTGTTTAGAGGATGGTGGGTTGGGGGGATGGTGGTGGCAGGAGAGACCACTTTCATATAAATATCAAACACCCAAGTGTAAGACCTTGTGAAAGCATGAAAATAGCTATTACCAGGTGTTCACTTCAGCAGCTCATATGCAGAATAACTGTTACCAAACATACCAAGGACCTGTGGCATGCCGGGCACCAGGCTAAGTGCTGAGGGTATAGATGCGAAGGAAACAGACACGGCCTCTTCTGTGAGTTTGGTCCAGGAGCCTCAGCCAAAGGGGCACCTTTTTCTCTGACTTTATGCCGTCAAGCTCTCCCTGGTAGAATCTAGTAGAATATAAGTGTATGATGACAGCTGTGATGTGTCATTCCTAATTGACTATAAACTAGTGATCTCCATGTAAACTAGTGCCTTGTGGTCAGTAGAATTCCAAGATGTCCCCCAAGACTCCCCACCCCCCGGTGTATATACCCTGTACAATCCCCAAGGCTGTGGGTGTGATGGATTCTATTATTAGGTTCTGTTCTATGATTACATAATATAATATGGCATAGTTGACCTTAAGATAGGGAGATTATTGAGTGGACATGACCTAATCATATGAGCCCTGTGAAAGCAGAGAGTTTTGTCTGTAAGAGGAAGTCAGAGATTTGAAGCACTGGAGGGAATTCTCTAAGCAAGAAGTTCTCCATGGCTGGCTTAAATATAGAGGGACCTTGTGGCCGCCAGGATAAAAACAGAGACCTTAGTCTTACAATTTCAAGGAGATGCATTCTGCCAACGGTCTGTGAGCTTGGAAGAGGACCCCAGATGAGAGCCAGCCCTGGCCAACATCTTGCTTTCAGCCCCACGGGACCCTACCTGAGCAGAGAATCGAGCCACACTGTGCCTGGACTCTGTCCTATAGAAACTGAGATGATAAAAGGGTGTTGTTTTATGCCACAAAATTTGTGATAATTTGTTACACAGCAAGAGAGAGCAGATGTACCTTTTTAGAAGTAGCCACCTTAAGTGACCAGCGTCCCGCTCAGCATCACAAATTGCTGTCCTCACACCTTGAGGGCCCTGCCCCACCGGAGCCAGGGACTGCCTTACAGGTGCCCTTGCGGTCCTTCCTTTCCTGCCCTGTCTCTCTGTACTGCGGGGTTAGTGCCTTCCCTCTGCTCTCCTTCTCTCCCCTGTGACCTGCTGGTTTGCAGTGAAGTCCTACGCTGCCCCCCACTGCCCCACAGCCCACCCCCTCAGTCTGGTCTCTGACCCATGGCACTTTCCTAGGCAGAGCAACTACATGCAGAAGGTGGAGCAGGAAATGAGCCTTAGAGAAGGGAGGTCTGGCGAGAAGAGGAACAAGGAGGGTGGTGGCCCCCAGTGCCCTGAGTCCCCCAGGCACATGGCTCTAGGCTTTTCTGCCTGCTCTAAGATTTGATACTTTGGACATAATGCCCCAGCACCCTCCTCTCCCAGGCTTTTCCTTAGCTCGGCATGTTCTTCCCTCCCCTCTTACCTAGACACGCTTGATATAACCCTTCAGCTCACTTTCCAGCATCCTATCCCCCAGGGAAATTTGACCGCTGTCCTCCCCTTCTTAGGGCTCAGCACAGTTGCAGTTTTACTTTGTTTCTTACGCCTCCATGTAGCCCCCAAGCCGGCCTCTGGGTGGCATGGCCTAGGTCGTTGTGCTGGCCAGTGCCTGGTGCTGGGTAAGCGGAGTCTCAGAACTTGTTGAGCGATCCCCTCAGAGTCGCTGGATTCTGTCCCTTGGCCCACTCTTCAGCCCAGCAGAGTGTGTCCCAACTACTCCAGGCTGACTCCTGCTGGGAGACAAAGGTGCAACGGAGGCAAATCTTGAGAAGCAGGAGCCTGGGGGGAGCTGGTGAAAGGTAGCCGCAGGTGATGATGGGAAGCTGCAGGGCAGCCCGTGCAGGAGTTGATGATGCCAGCAGGCCCAGCTCGGACAGGCATTGGAGACAGATGGAGTCCATGGAGCCCATGGGTTCAGACCCTGGTTAACCTCTTGTCTCTACGACCTTGGGCAAATTTGTTTCACCCTCTTAGGAGTCAGTTCTTTCACCTATAAAGTGGGATAATGGCACCTACCTCAGGGGGAGTATCTCTCTCTCTTCATCTAGTAATGGCAGCTGTTTGTGTGAGTGTCGTCAGGCACCATGCTCAACACTCTGCCATGTTTATCTCCCTTAAGCCTCTCCCCACAGCCCTGTGAGGCGACCATGTTTAGAGAGGTTCCAGGACCTGCCCAAGGTTTCTTTTAGTAAATGGTGGGGCAGGGTTTGGATCCTGGTGTGTCTGGCCACTCTGCAGGTCTTCACCTCCCCCTCCCATCTGGGTGCCGGCATTCTAAAGATATGGGCGGCTGTGAGAAGGGCAGGCCCAAGTTCCTGGACAGTCTCGTATTGTCCTGCTTAGTACATGTCCTGTAGTCCTGAGCGATCATCTTTGCTAAAGACTTGCTGTGTTGTTATATTTCAGAGCAAGCTACAGCAATCAACGGAAATGTCCATCCATCTGGACAAGGAGATCTTGCTGAGAAATGAGTTACTTGAGAAAATTGAAAGCGAAACCCTACAAGCAGAGGAGGTAGGAGAGGGCAAAATGTGCTGTTTCTGGTGTTTGTCTCCTTCTGTCTACAAGGGCTTGAGCCAGTGCACACCAAGACCCAAACCACCTTGGTTTTTGTCTAGAAAAGCCTAGACCGTAAGTCAAAAGAGCTCAGGGCCATCAAAAAGAAGAAATGGCACCAGGAACTCACGGCCCAGTAGTGTTGGCATTTTATTGCTAGGTTAGGGTCTAGAGTCAAAAATCACGTAGAAAGCATGAATCAGTCTAGAAATCATGTAGAGTCCAGATAACACTCGAGAATTCCTTAAGTGACCCATAAAGTATCATATTCAAAGTGTTTTGTATACAACCTCACAAAAAGCGTAGAATGCGTGTAAAAATCGGTATGAGAAAAAGTACACATGCCAAAATATAGTGTTCTGTGTAAAGGAGAGAAAGTTCTTTAAACATGTAGTTTTTACTCAGTATAGAGGATGCTGGGATGATGGTCACAGTGTGAAAAGATGTGAGCCCCTTACATCTACATTGTGAGTTAACACTCTCACTATTTTGCTGAGTGCATACAGATGAATTTTGGCAAGTTAAATACATGCAGGATGTGACTCAGAGGACTTTTTTGGAAAGATGGGGGAAAGAGCATCAGCTTTGGTGTTGCCAGGTTCTAGCTTTGAACATGCCTTTTAATTAGACAGGCCTCAGTTTCCACATCTGTGAAATAGATGTCACAACACTTGTGGTGATCCATTAGACCAGGATAGCAATGCTTTGTCAGCCTCATAACTTATACAGTTATTAGTGACCTTGTCTTGAATGGGATAAGTGTCCCCAGCAGTATGTGTGGCCCCAAACCTGTCTATGATAGCTGAAAAGCCACAGGATGACTACAGCCGACTCAGTTTTGTCATGGCATCCACGTTGTTTCCTTGATGGAGAACCAACACCTGCAAAAAAACCCATCTCGGTACAGAGTGGCCGGTAACAAAGTCAAGGAGTAGTCTGTGTGCTCTCTCCATGCAGAATTTCTGTGGTATTTATTCGTTTGGGTGGACATTTATTAGATTATAAGTAAAACATAGCATCGGTTTTTACAAGCCTGGCATTCACTGCTTAGTATATTTTAGTTTTCTTGTTACCTTTTTTTTTTTTAACAGCTGTATTGGGTTTTAATTCATGTACTATATAACTCACTCATTTAAAGCACACATTTTAATGGTTTGTAGTATATTTGCAGCATGGTGTAACCATCAGCATAATATTTGAGAACATTTTTGTCACCCTAGAAAGAAACTCTGTACCCATTAGAAATCCTTGTCCATTCCCCACTTCACCTCACTCCTGCCCTCCAGCCCTAGATGAACACTAGTCTACTTTCTGTCTCTGTGAATTTGCCTGTTCTGGGCATTCTATTTGTGTGTGTGTATGTATGTATGTATGTATGTATGTATGTATGTATGTAGGTATGTATGTAGGTATGTATGTATTTGTTTATATTTTTGAGAGAAAGAGAGAGACAGAGTGTGAGCAGGGGAGGGGCAGAGAGAGAGGGAGACACAGAATCCGAAGCAGGCTCCAGGCTCTGAGCTGTCAGCACAGGGCTTGACTCTGGGCTTGAACCCATGAACCACGAGATCACGACCTGAGCCAAAGTCAGATGCTCAACTGACCGAGCCACCCAGGTGCCCTTGGACACTCCACTGAAAAGAGATCATATAGTATGTGGTCTTTCATGACTGGCTTATTCAACAATATTTTCAAGATTCATGTTGTAGTATGTGTCAGTACTTTGTTTCTTTTCATGGCTAAAAATATTTCCTTGTATGGATATAGACCACGTTTTATCCATTCAGCAGTTAAAGGGTTGTTTCCCATGGGTTGTTTTTGGCTATTAAGAATAATGCTGCTATGAACTTTTGTGTACAAGTATTGTGTAAATGTATGTTTCCTCTTCTCTCGGACATAGAGGTAAAAGTAGAATTGTGAGTTAAATATGGTGACATTTTTACATTTAGAGAAACTGCAAAACTGTTTTGAAGGTGCTGCCCTTGGGGCTCCTGGGTGGCTCAGTCGGTTAAGCATCTGACTTCGGCTCAGGTCATGATCTCACCGTCCGTGGGTTTGAGCTCCGCGTCGGGCTCTGTGCTGACAGCTCAGAGCCTGGAGCCTGCTTCGGATTCTGTGTCTCCCTCTCTCTCTCTCTGACCCTTCCCCGTTCATGCTCTGTCTTGCTCTGTCTCAAAAATAAACGTTAAAAAAAAAAAAAAAGAAAGGGGTTGTACCATTTTTCCAACATTTCACCAACACATGAGGGTTCTAATTTCTGTACATCTTCACCAATACTTGTTACTTTCCAGGGTTTTTTGTTTGTTTTCTAATAGCTGTCCTAGTGGATGTGAAGTGATACCTCATTGTGGTTTTGATTTAAATTTCCCTAATGACTATTAACATGGAGCTTCCCTTCATTTGCTTATTGACCATGTGTCTTTTTTGAGAAATATCTATTCAAGCCCTTAGCCCCTGAATAAGTTTTTAATTGAATTATCTGTCTTTTTATAATTGAATTATAGGAATTCTTTATGTATTCTGGATTCAAATAACTTGTCGGATATATGACTTGCAAATATTTTCTCCTGTTCTGTAGGTTTCCTTTTTACTCTCTTGATGGTACTGTTTACAGTTTTTAATTTTGGTGAGCTCTAATTTATCTATTTTTTTCTTTTGCACTTGAGCTCAGTGTCATATCTAAGAAACCATTACTTGGGTTGCCTGGGTGGCTTAGTCAATTAAGTGTCTGACTCTTGATTTTGGCTCAGGTCATGATCTCAGGATCGTGAGATCGAGCCCTGCTGGACCTCTTAAGATTCCCTCTCCTTCTGCCTCTCCCCATGTGCATGCACGCTTTTTCTCTCTGAAAAACAAAACAAAATAAAATAAAATAAAATAAAATAAAATAAAATAAAATAAAATAAAATAAAATAATAAAATAAAACCATTACTTACTATCATGAAGCTTCAGGCCTATGTCTTCTGTTGTGAGTTTTATAGTTCTTACATTTAGGTTTATAATACATTTTGAGTTAATCTTGTAAATGTGAGGAAGGGGTCTAAAAGCTGCCAGAAGAAAGGAGATGAAGTATGTTCCTGGAGTTTGTTGTATTAGCCTTCCTGTTTACCATAATGTGCTTCTCCCCATTTCTTCCTGTGGATTCGAGTTACCATCTTGTGCTATTTCCTTACTCAAATATAGCTTTGTTCACCCTGCCTTTGTGCTGTCATTATCAAATATGTTACATTTTTATGTTACCAGCCCACAATAGAACTATATACATACTGCTTTATGAATTGCTTTTTAAATCCATTAAGAGAGGAGAATATGTCATTATACTGTCCTTTATAATTACTTACACAATTACCATTACTTGTGCTATGTGTTTTCTTCACATGGATTTAAGTTACTTTCTGGTGTCATTTGTTTTCAGCCTGAAGAACTTCCTCTAGTATATCTTGTGAGGGGGGGTCTGCTAGCAACAAATTCTCTTTGATGTGTGTTTATCTGGGAATGTCTATTCTTCATTTTAAGAAAATAAAATTTACTTTAGGACTGTTTTAGAAAACTGTGAAGAGTGCAGAGTTCCCAAGTATCTCATACCCATTTTCCCCTATTATTAACATCTTACAGTAGAATATTTATTAAAATTGATAAACCATTATTGATGCCTTATGATTAAAACTTATAATTAATATTATTCATATATCCTTTTTATCTGATGTCCCTTTCTGTTCCAGGATCCCATCCAGGATAACACATTACATTCAGTGTCACGTCTCCTTAGGCTTTTCTTGGCTTTGACAGTTTCTCAGGCTTTGCTTACTGTTGATGACCTTGAAAGTTTGTGAAGTGGTCAAGTATTTTGTTGACTGTTCCTCTGTTAGGATTTGTCTGCTGTCTTTCCGACGATTAGACTGAGGTTAAATGGTTTTTGGGAGGAAGATCAGAGAGGTGAAGTGCCATTTTCATCACATCCTATCAAAGGAGCATACTGTCAACATGACTTATCACTACTGATGTCAACTTTGATCATCTGGCTGCTGTAATATTCTGTGGGATTATCCACTATACAGTTACTCTTTCCTCTAATATTCAGACCATATTCTTTGGAAGGATGTTACAATGTGTAGCCCACACTGAAGAAGTGGGGAGTTATAAACTATTTGGATCATCTGTCTGGGAGATTAGTCTATTCTCCTCCATTTATTTTTTTAATCATTTATGTATATCAGTATCAATTCATGGATGTTAATTTTAGCATATGTGCTGTCAAAGGGACCATGGATATTAATTTTATATGTTGGGTTATAATCTAATATTATTTGTTTTATTACTCACATTGTTTCACCTTGGCCATTGGGAGCTCTTTCAGTTGGCCTATGTACCTTTGACATATCCCTGTGTGTGCATGTGTGCGGGCGTGTGTGTGTGGGTGTGGGTGTCTTAGCACTTTTTCTTTTCTGGCACTAGAAAATGCTTGAGACTCATCTCATATATTTTCTGCTTCAGCAGAATGGCTATAATTAGCCATTTCTCCAAGGAGTCCAGGTTCCTCTTACTTGAGAATAGCATTAGAAACCAAGATCTGAGTGTGCTCATTGCTTGCTTTCATTTTTAGAGATAGTTTTGCTGGATAGGAGATTCTTGTTTGACTTTTTTTTTTCATTCAGCCCTTAGAATATGTTATCCTGCTGCCTTCTGGCTTCCAGTATTTCTGATGAGAAGTCAGCTATTGCTGTTATTTGGTTTCCTTTGTATGTGATTACTTGTGTTTCCTTGCTGCTTTCACTATTTTTCTTTGCCTTGTCATTCAACATTTTGGGTATGATGTGTCTGGGTATGGATTTCTTTCCAATTTGTTACTCAGAGTTTGTTGAGCTTCTTCGATATGTAGCTTAATATTTTTCATAAAAATATTTTTCATCAAATTTTGGAAGTTTTCCATTATTGGAAAATGGAAATAGTGGAAAAC